TTATGAGAATATTGTGGCAATTTTTTAATTTTAATACTTTAAAGAACTATAAAATTTTTAAAATTCGAAATATTTTTTGTATTAGAAAAATTAAATTTCAAATTTCATGCGTATATAAAAATTAAAATTTAAATTTCGTACGAGTATAGGAAATAAATTTCAAATTTCGTATAAATATAAAAAACATTTACATAATTTAATAATTGGTTTCATCAATCTCAAATGTTATGCTAACAAGTTAATGTCACATCAATAAAATCAACGTCACATTAGCAAAATCAATGGCCACATTAGCATTTTAACAATAAAAAATTGACAGTTGGACTAAAATTTTTAAATCAAAATAATACAAAGACTAAATTTATATGATTTATAATACAAAGATTAAATTTTAAATTTTCACAAAATATAAGAACCTCTAATATCATCAATTTGATATCTTTATCCTGTCGGTCAAGAGTATTATCTTTTCAATAATATAGATATATATATATTGAAAATTAAGGCAAAATTTTATTAAAACAAAAATGGACAAAAAATTATAGCCAAGCCACTAAGCCTGAAGTTCGATGGACACCCATCTTAGTAAAAGCATAGCGAAGTGATTTGCCCCTCTGAAGACATGAACAAAAGAAATTCTCTTAATCATTGCATAAAGATTGTACAGCTTATTAAGAAGCTTGCTATATTTCCTTGGGCTGCTATTGATTTTGTTCAACCAAGAAATCATCACCTTGGAGTCGCTTTCGACGATAATCTCAAGGAAAGCATTAGGATTAGCTACCACCACAAAGGACAGTGCTTCAAGAACAGCAAGCAACTCGGACAAATTTGAGTCTTTTAACCTCGAAGTTTTTGAAAAAGATCATCAATACCTTTCCTTCATGATTCCGGATGACCCCCCAATCCCTGCTGGCCTTGGCTTACTCATAGCAGAATCGTTCACTTTGATTTTCCACACACCAAGGGAGGCGGAAACCAAGAGATATAATGCCTGATTGCCTTCTTTGGTGGAGGAATTGAAAGAACATTGATAATTGACGTTGAGCTTAAATTTGTGAAGTTTAAGTTAGGATACTTTGCCTTTGACTACCATCCAACTCTTAGACAAGTCAATTCATAAATTTGATCAATCGATAAGATTTTTTGGTTAAATATCTTACTATTGCATGCTAACCAAATAGATCATAAATGACGGCATAAAAAAAAATCTAAAATCGACTTTTGATTCTTTTTAACTAGTAGTCTATTCCAAGATTCGAAGGCCAAGGTGCCTAAGAATGCCTAAGAGATACTCTCACTTTCAATTTCAAGGTCAATTTTAATATATATTTAACGGTTAAAATTTTTTTCTATCAGAAAATAGTTAGACATTGTAATTTAACATCCATGATCTACATCACTGAAACGTAAAATGCAACAGTTGAACTATATAAGTATAAATTATATAAAACTTAGAACATGATGTAAAACTAAATTAATTTTATATTAATATATATATATATATATATATATATATATATTGGGCCAACATATTAATTGCTTATCTTTTATTATTAAGTGGGTCTACTTGTGAAGGCTTTCTGTCAAGGCAAGGGCAGACATGCACTAAGATGGATGAATTAAGATGTCCCATACCCAAAGTAATCGGATCATGTTTCTTTCTTATCGTAATCATTATGATTCTTTTTTATGGGTGATTAAAAGTAAAATCCTCCATCAAATTTCCACTTGAATTACTAAAACCCAAAAGCTGAAAATTTATTCATTTTGTGCAGTAAAATGGTGGAATAAAGAGGGACAAACTTAATCTCTAGTATCCCACTTATATTATCAATAATTAAAAAATTGAATCAGAATTGATATGTGGGAATTTAGATGGTGAATGTCTAATAGCTTTTGGCAGACACCGTTGGCCATTCCCCATTAAAGAAAAGGAGGAAAATTAATAAAATAGAAAAGTATTCAATGGCAATACTTGAAAGCTGTTTCCGGCATTGGACTTAAAGGGCAAACCTTTCTGATGGGCTACAACAGTTGGATTCCGATTCTAATTTCATTATTTTCTATTTTTTATTTTCCCTTTAATTTTCTGATTTTTATTTGTCCTAATAATTGGGCTTAAAGCCCAATCATAAATTGAAGAAAAAAATTTTAAGTCCATTAATAGTCCAAAAGCGAGTTCCAAAATCCAAAAGCAAATCCTAAATGCTAAAATCAATCTCAATGCCTTAGCAATTCAAAACCTGATGGCAAAATATCAAGGTCCAATTTATCTTTCAAAGACCCAAAACCAAATATTGGCCTTTTAAACTTGACTTAAAGCCTAGTCTTGTCTCAAATCAGGATTAAGAGGAATTTCTAATTAAGCCCTTAAAAAATTATTTAATTTAGATCAATCCGATTTTTAAAAAATATTAAAAGAGCTCAAACAAAATGGATGTTTATAATGTGCACTTTTAATCATATAAAAGTAAACATGAATCTCCAATAATGAGATTTTATGAAATTTGCAAGCAGCAATTGCATTAGAAATTTTTAGGTGATAAATTTCTTTAAATGCTATCAAGAAAGTTTTCACTTTTCAAGAAAAAAATAATTAATTAAAAAAATAAAATTAAATGAAAATATCAAAATATGAGTATAAGGTTTAAATTTTTTTTTTTTGTGTAAAATACAATTTCAAAATGAATCCTATACTGCGACCTTTTTGTAAAAAATCAAAATGAATCTAGATACAAAGTCTTTTACATAAAAAAATAAATATACGTTTCTTGAATATTGTTAAGGTAAAGGGATTTTCTGAAGGTGTCACAAATGTTTGAGATTACCCAGGTAAAATCTTCAATATTTAATAAATTTGATAAAAAGAAAAACAAAGAAAAAATTGGTGAGAAATAAAAGAAATACCATCTTACCAAGGCTAAAAAGATAACATTTGATTATTGAGTACTATACTTTGAACAACTTTGTAAAATTGATAATTGTAATTTTATATCTTATAGATTAAAAAATTATTTTTTAATTAATTTTAAAACATTATTAAACAGATAAAAAAATTTTAAGTAGTTAACCATATTTAGACAAAAAAATATTGGTACAACTCTTTTCTTTTTTTAAATCGTCGAAAAAATTGGATTCTTGGATCTACATATTGCGATAGTAGATAAATTGTCAATTAATTATTATGTTTGTGTTGAAAAGATTCAAATCAAAACCATCGAATGAACTAAATACCCAATTTTAATTAAATAAAAACTTAAATAATTTATACTTCAAAATAAAAAAAATTAGGCGAGGCATAGAGGGCCGATATACAAGTTATATTAAAGTAATGTTAGTGTTAAGTAAGCTGTGGAATGAAGTAAAACGGTAAACGAAGTTTTTAAGTGACATATGAAAGTTTAGAATTTGAAATTTCAGTTTAGTAGGCTTAGTTTTTTTTTTTTTTTAAGTTATAATTAAAATAAAATATTACATATTTATAATCAAATGAATAATCAATTATAATATTATAATTAAATTATAATTATTGAATAATTAATTAATAAATTAAAATATAATTAAACATCTAAATTTACATATAAATTTATTCATAAGTTGGGCCGAGTTGAGTTCAAGTCTAACCTTGCACGATATTCCAATATTTTAAGCAAGTTTAAGCCTAACTCGATCTGATTTTCGAGCCTCATTTGTTCTTCAAGTTTGTTCTTATATGTAACAATAAAGTCTAATCATGCCTAAAGCATTGGTATTTAAAATTGGGAACAAGAGTTTTTTTTTTTTATAAATTATTAATTTAATTAATTTAATTAATTTTAATTCAATTTATGAGTCATTTGAGTTTGGATCCAATTTAATTTTGTTAAATGTAATTTAAAATTGAATTATTATTTTATATAAAGAAAAGAAATGAGTTTTATCATATTATAAGTAATAAAATAAATAAGTATTGTCCATTATATAAAAAAAAAAAAAAAAACCCAAATGAGTTTTGTCTCATTACAATAAAATTTTTTTTTTAATTTTTAGACTAAATCAAGTCAGATTCGGATCTTAAATGGTGAAATTCAAACTCGAATCTATTTTTTATCAAATCTCATTTATTTATTCAGTTAATTTAACGAATTTAATATTCATATTCAAGCTTTACAAAATTTCAAGCGAACTTTCGAGTTTAGGCAGACTGCCCAACCTGTGAAGAGGTCTATTCACACTAATTAAAACTTAAATCTAAGATCTAAATGTTTGAGGACTTGTTTCTTACAAATAAATTAAGGCTTGGTTAGCTTAGGAGGCTTAGTTTTGAATCTAAAGAACAATAGGCTAACTCCATTGGGTACATGTATTAACCTAAAGATGTGACCCATAAAACTGGATAGATCTACCGTACGTCGCTCTCAAATGGATAACTCTAGTATCAGATAGACTTGAATCCATCAACTTTCCTGGAAAGTAAAATTCTCTCAATTTATTCTCTTTTAACCCCACAGGAATTGTGAACAAAGAAGATCAAATATATATTTTCTGAAATCAACCAGCAGCCCCCAGCATTAATTGCACCACCTTGTATGAGGAGAGATGAACTTGTTTACAATTTTCGAACGCCTTCGCCCCTCGGTGCTGTGTTTGAGAATCAAAATATATATTCTTTAGCAGAAATCAGACATAGTTCAGCTGACCTAAGCATATTAACCTTTTTTTTTTTTTTGGATAATTGTTACGCGTTTTAACTTTACTTCATTGGTCTTTTTCATTTTTTTTTCCCTTATTGACGAAGGAATCGAAATCCAGCTCAACTATTTCGTGGGGTTTCCTCTTTGGATGTACCCTTGGGTTTACTTTTTGAATGGCATGAGTTGGAAAAAAACATGCTGGGATTCCATTGGAGATGCTTCAAAACTTTTCCTTGATTAGTTTTATTTGCACTTTCAAACAAAGTTGATGCACCAGATATAACCTAATTAAAGTAAGTCACTGCAACTATCTTTGATCACCGCCCCCTAGAAAAGTAATTGTAGGATTAAAGTCCACTGTTTCTTACACATAATCTTATATAAAATGATACTGCGGTCACCTAGAAACACATACCAACAAATTAAAGCTTCTGTTTATTCCAAAATGCCCAAGTCAGAGGCACAAGAGAACCAACGCCCAGCAGGTTCCAACTTTCTACCAAAACATCCAATTCTATTGAAACTACTTTCTAGATTATTGTTTTCATGATGGCAGATTTGAGAACTTACTGTTGTCTATGTTTTTGGTGGAAGGATATCCATCTGCGGAACCCCTAGCTGCTCAAAAGAAGTGTTTCCCTCGTACAAAGAAGAAAGGAGATAGAGGCTTCATTGAGGGATGGTAAGAAATACATTATCCTATCAGTTTCTGCAACAAAATTGTTTATGCAAATGTGCCCGCAGGCATTCTGAGTGACATCACTAACCTTGTGTTTTATTTGATCTTCTTCCTCTTTCAAAATTTCTTTTGCTGCCATTCTTACAACTGCAGCCTGTTCGCGCTTTGCTGCTGTTGGCTCTGCGAAACTTGCTTCTAGATAATGCTTTCAAGGATCATGATTCTGATACTTGGTTGAATACTGTCGATTGTGGGCCTTACTGCTATTCTATGAGTTTGATCATATGCTGTAATAAAGTAGAGAAGTCTTAAATCTACTAAAGAATCTGTGGAAGTGTTCATTGTATTTTTTGGTCAGACCCACGTTCATCATCTTCATTTAAAAGATTTTTCTCTAATCTGTCTTTGTTTTTCTTTATATGCTTCCTGAAAAAGAGAAAGATTTTCAAGGCTGGAATTAAATTAGCATATTCAGTAGCCTAAAAGAGAAGAACAAGCTTGAGTTCAGCTTACAGGAAAGGCCTATGGCTTAATACTAACCTGAAAATTAAAACATTTGAAGTTCTCACTTCTGCCAATGAAATCTGCTAGCTCCAACTAAAATAGGTCCGACGAGTAAAATACGGAATCCAAAATCCATAAAACCAACATCAAGGTATAAGTAGCATGGCCAAGGTTTAAGGATAATATCCAATCGATAAACCCAACATAACCAGAGACGGATCTAGGGTGGAATCACTTCAAAATATAAATACAAAATTTATCTACTATACTTATTAATCTTGCTAGAATGACTTTTTAATGAGTTACAAAACATGTTATGTTATGTCACGTTTAATCCAATTTGTTCGATAAACTTGTTAATCGTGTAATATTATATAATCCATTTAATAAATATATTTGTGTATATCTTTAAATCTTTAATTTATTTATTCAATTGTTATATTTATATTTACATATATAAGTATTAATATTCTTTCCTAATGTATCACACTTACTTCAAGTAAATGTAATTTTTTAGATTTAATTTTTATATAAAAATAATTTTTTTAATATTTTATAATTTTTTAAAAATATTTTTATTATTTTATATTTCTAAAAATATTTAACATTATATTTAATAAAAATCATTTTAAGTTACAATAGTTTGTAAATAAATATTACTTAATAATTTACCTCCATTGAGTATAAATCTTAAATCCATACCTGAACATAATAACACCTAGTTCATCATTCTTATGATGGTCAAAGCTGAGAAATGAATAGCCAACATTCTTCCAAGCATTTATTTTTATTTTATATTGGCTCAATATCTAAATAAATCTTTTAACTTTAACCAAGACATCGATTTTTTATTTCATAAAATTAAGATTACAAATTATTATTTCATTGTAATTATATTTATTAAATCTTAAAAATAAATGAATGACATCCAATTAACAAAATTTTTAAAATAGCATTCTCTCAAATATGTATCTCATTCAAATAAGCAATATTTACAAAATAAATCATCCAACTAAAAAAAATTAAACATTTTGTATGTTAAAATTATAACAAAATAAAAATTTATAATTTTATCTTTTTTCCTTCTCTATCATTTATCTATGATTGCTGAAATATGATTCTTATAGTCTTACAATTGCTGCTCTAACCCTTGGATCACCTGGTGAAGTGATTTTTTTTCATTCAATACTTTAAAGTGCTTTCTACTTTCTTTTGCAAGCTTAATCTTCCACCTCTTCTTTTCTTTTTGATATTCCACCAATTTTGCTAAAGCTATAGAGCATAATCCATCCCAATTTTGACATTCCTAAGAAATTCTGGTGACTTCTTCTTGCTTTTCCTGAGCTTTGCATTTTCAATGGTTCATTTTCTTTCGAAGCTCATCCATTTCAAATTGCCGACTAAGGTAAGATTTGGTAACTTTTTCAGTCTTCAATTGGACTCACAATTTCTTATTTTCTTGGTGCAGATCTTTCAAATCATTATTAGCCACATCTTACTCTTTTATGACTTTCTCCAATCTACTCCCTTGTACCTCTGCTTCATATCTCAATTGTCTCATTTTCTCTTAAGTCTCAAATTTTTTTTCTTATTTCTTTCTTTTCATATTCAATTCCTTCCTAACAAGCTTGGCTTACGATAATTGTACTTCTGCCAAAATGTTAGCTAATTGATGTGAGCCATCATCATGAGGGAGCACTGTATCTTTAAGCCGCTTTACTTTTAAATCTGGTAATTAAGAATGGTTGTCAAAAGAGGCACTAATCTCATCTTTCGTGTTTTTTTCCATACTTGGATTAACTATTCTGAGGTTCTTGGTGGATCGGGCTCTCTATAAGTGAATTCTACTTGAGCCAGGTTATGAATGGCAAAAACAAACTATTTTGCATCGAATTGCTTAACGTACCATCAATAGAGTGTAACTTACCACACCCTATAGTCCTAATAATGGTATCACAGTTCATTTCCTCCTTGATAAAACATAGGCAAGCAGGGCATCCATGGTGCCATTCATTCTATTCCATCCCCAATATGTTTTTGCAGGAATAAAACCCATTCTTTCTTAGTCTTCAACGTTGGCCATTGGCTCTTACAAAATTCTTCGATTGGTGCCTTGTTTCGAAGATACGATTTTAAAATGCATTTTTCCCACTCTTGAAATAATTTTTGACCCAGATACAATAGCAGTGCACACCCTATGAAGCATCATTTTCCATTTCGTCTATAAAAATTCAATGACCTGATGATTTTGGCTAAGACTGCTAGTGTAGGATTAATTGCTTGGATTTCAATTTGCTCAAAAAATCTACTACAATTATCTCAATGTAGCCCAAAGTCTTTGAGACAAACACCATGCCATATAATGCCAAAGCAAACAAGGCCATGCCTTAATCAACATCTAAATGCACTTGAACAAAATTAAGGAGCAAATCCCAATAGATACCGAGTTGTTCACCTTGAGGTTTCATGAAGGAATCTATGGTTCCTACTTTAACTCTTATAAGCTTGGTCAACTTTTTTTTTCAACTTTCAAGTAAAAACTTTGCTCAAAAATTGTAGTCCTATCTCAAGCAAAATCGAGTACCCCTCAATGGTTGCCATTAAATCTTTTTAATTAAAAGTGAAGCATCTATAGGACGATCTTAAAAATGTATAGCTACCCTAATCAATTGTTCTTCGATCACCACCAAAATAAGGGATGTAATTTGCCCATACTTTTGCAAAATCTTTCCTTTTTTTTTTCTTTACTTATCTGACCACAAATGATGGCTAACTCTTCTAAATTGTTTTGGGTGAGATCCAAATACACCTTTTTGGGTAACTCAGACATATAATCGATAGGCAAACAATCTCCATTCTTTTTGTTGGGCTTCATTCAACCAAACATGTACTTCATTATATGACTTACATAGGACACCTACAGATGATAAGTAAATATGTAGTTCTACAGGATCCATGAAAAAACTTCTTAGAAGAAAGATGTCTTAAAGTAAATACCTCAATGTAAAACTGTATGATATGATTTATGTAAAAGAAAAATAAATAAATAAAAATTGAGTTAGTATGAGGATGTGGTTTGGGATTGGAAATTTTTTTTTTTTTATTTTTTATATTTTTACACATGATTTTTATTCTTGCATGTTTTGGAATTAGGTATCTTCTATAACATGGTTGGCAAGGCTTTACCTAAGTTTGGCTTCTTACGACTTACTATATGCTTGGTTTGAATTGACACACGTCTAAAGGTTCTCAAATTGTTTCTCACTATCATCCATGCTGGACTAGTAAGGCACTACAATCCTCACCCATTATAAGTTACGAATGAAAATGATTCAATTTAAGTAGAAGATTTCATTTGCTATTACGGAGCTTATCACCTTACAAGATTATAGATACTAGAGGTGTAATCGCTCGAGTTCAAGTCGATACAGTATTAAGCTCGAACTCGAGTTTAATTCAAAATTCGAGGCTCGAAACTCAGCTTGAACTCGATCAATTTTTTTTAGCTCGAGCTCGACTTAAGATAGAATCGAGCTACTCGAGCTCGCTCAATTAGGCCTAATTAACATGTAAAAATAAGCTCGATTCTTATATTTGATAAAAGTTCGATTATTTGTACTTGAGCTCGAACTTGAGTTTGAGATATTTTGTTAATTAAAATAATTAAAATTATTTAAATATAAAAGCTCAATTAGGCTTACGAGCTACTCAAGTCGGATATAAAAATACTCGAACTCAGTTCGATTGATGAGTTGAGCTACTCAAGCTCAAGCTTGACTCGATAATAATTGAGCTGAATTCAAGTTTTATTATAATCAAACCCAAATAGCTTGCGATTACTAATGTATCATTTACACCCCTAATAGATACTTTACTTCTTCTATAAGGGACAAAGCCCAGGTATAAAGCTTATGCATGAAATACAACGTGTCATCATGTGTGCAAATGTCTCATATTTTACTGAGAATAATATATATATACAGAAAAATAAAATAAAAAATGAACAAAAGAGATAGTTAAAAAAAATGCATGTGAAATTTATCTTTTTTTGTTTTTTTATTTTTTGATTTTTGTATTAATTTTTTTATTATCAAAATCTAAAAAATTAAAATTAAATACCGATTAAGATTGTTTAAATCAAAATTGAGGATAACACATAATTAATTTTTGGCTTGACTCTAAAAAAAATAGCATCCTTAATAAAATCGTCAAACTGCCGTAATAGTTTTAAAGTCACCTAATGAATTTGAAAAGGAAAAGGAAAAAAAGAGTCACTACCAATATTTTTGGTTAGGTGCGATTGGTCACCTATTAAAATTTATATTTTTAATAAAAGTCTTAAAATTAATTAAAATTTATTAAAAAGATAATTTTATAGTCTGTGAAATAGTTTGGATCCAATAGTCGATTATGTATGTGAAAAGATTAGCATCCCCACAATGTTAGTTTAAAATGGTATCAATTAATTATATGTTACTGTTCAATCTTAACAAAAAAACAATCTTAGTTTCAACATTTAAAAATAATTTCCTTGACTTCCTTTATTTATCGAAATTTTAGTTTTTTTTTAATTTATGTTTTACTGTTATTTCATTTTATTCAAGAAAAAATTAGAACCTTTTTATTGAAATAATTTTTAAAATATTCCAATACATTGGTAACATTAAAAAAGCTTTTCCACACCTAAATATTTCTTAGGTATCACTTCTCGGAATATTTCAAAATTTCATCCTCGGAGGCTTGTATTTATCTTTCATAAAAATAAAGACATGCATACAATGTGAATGATAAAATATTGATGCACGTACTTTATTTTGTTTTAAAAAATTATTGGTTTTTTTATTTTTATATTTTTTTGGAACAAAAGAGAAATTTTTATTATACTAAAAATTTTTTTTTATAAATACTCTAATACACTGATAGTATTTAAAAAAAAATCTTTTTATTTAGAGATTTTTTAAAAGCATCACTACTAATAATATTTTAAAATTCCATCTCAAGTAAGAATTTTTTTCCCTTATTTTATTATTTTTATTAGCAATTTTAGTTAATTTTTTATTTTATTTTATAAAAAGAGGAAGACTTTTATTGTATTGAAAATTTTTTGTAAATACTATAATATGTTAGTAGTATTTAGAAAAATCTTCTTACTTAGAGATTTTTTTAAGGTGTCACTACTTAGAATACCTGAAAATCTTACCATTTAATGAAAATTTCCTTTTCCCATATTTTTAT